ATGTTCACCTCGCACTGCGATTGAGAAACAATTTGCTCATCATTCGTAAGGGATTCGGGCTTGCACTGGGTCTGCTTCTCATCGAAGGCATGATCATGGGCCGATTGAGCCTCGTGACAAGGACTTTGCCGCCCTGGAAAATCATATGAATTGCTACCAGTACCTGCCCCAGAGAATGAACAAGCTGTACCCATGCGAATAAAAAGTTGAAAAAGTTTTGGAGTGATCGAATTACTTTCATCATGTTTTGGAAACACTAAGCAGGCGGACTTGTCACTGGTAGTGACGTCATTTCATTAGACGGCGTAGATTTGACCGTGGGAAACTGTGTTCTAGTAGGTCAGCGGATGTCAACAAAAGACTCTAACAACTTTTCAAGAATCAGAAATTTACTCAACCTTTTCTAGTCAAAAATCTGTCTAAAATGCCGGTGTTTAAAGGTATGCGATTTCATCGTTACACCCGGTCTCATCCTGATTTAACACTTGTGTAGTCGATGTAATCTGTGGTTTGTTTGCTCCTTAATGTAGTGTCAGTAAAGTGGGGACGTGAAAAATTCGAGAATGTGGAGTTGGACAGCGACGAATCTCCAGAACTGTTCAAAGCGCAGCTTTTTGCGTTATCAGGAGTAGCTCCTGAAAGGCAAAAGGTCATGTTCAAGGGATCTGTTGTGAAGGTACATTGATTACCCGTTCAATTCATTGATGCATTATTTTTTAAATGTGTAAACACTATCATTGACAAATCTTGTGAATATCTAAATTGACCACGTGATCCAACTAAACTTTACGTTATATTTAGTATACAGTTCGCCATTTTTTTAAATCATAGGAATAAATCGTCTTTTGACTGGGGAAGAGCCAAGATTGCATGTTTCAGTTGTATTTTTAACAATAAAGAAGTGTGATCTCTAATTAAACGACATGGGCCACTAAAGTTCATTTTAGTACCCCAAAGTACATGGAAAGAGATCCTCAAAGGTTGAGAGGCCAGAGGCTGGAACTCTTACGAGGTTGTTCCTTCAGGGGTTGTTTAAAGACATTTTCATCAGAGAGGGGAGGTGTGTGTGTTTGTAGGGTGGGGTACACAAGAATAACTGGAGATATCTGGGTGAAACACTACAATGCTGGCTGTGTCAACCAGGTTGGCTTGATTGATTGAGTACTTACTCAGACCAAAAATGTAAAGTGGTTGTAATGATGTTGTGGAATAAGGTTACATATTGGTACTGCAATATCCCCTTGTGCTATTGCTTTCTTAATTTCTCATGATCACAAAGGATTAGGTATATATACAACTTTACTTCATTAGCTTTATTATTCTAAGTTGCATTTTTTTAAAATAAGACCAAGGTCCTGGGATTTTATTTTAAGCATTGTTGAAGCTCTTCATTTTTATTTACCATTTTTTCAATTCAGGATAATGATTGGGGAAACTTCAAGATTAAAAATGTAAGTATTAGGAATCGTTAAATCATATTTATCTAACTAATTACCTGACTAGGTGGTTTACATAATGATTGGGTCAATTTCATTTCATAATAGCATGATGGAAACACAAGAGTGACTTTATGCGAANAGTCTGGAGGACAGTCACAAGGTGTGGCGTAAAGTTGAAAGCTCCAGTAGTGAAGCAAAAATTGTTCCAATTGGAGCAGAAAGTTTGAAGATTTTTCCAAGCCGACTGGAAAAGGGGACCGATGGACTATCCTTCTTTGCGTTGGAGGGAAAAATCAAGCAGCGGATTTGAATTTCGGCAAGAAAACAACCTTGCGGTCCAGGTCTTTCGAAACAGCAGTGTCCAGCCTTGACTTTGTCTACAGAAAGCTGCGAAAAACACCTGAAAACCCCCCAAAAACGACAAAATAGGCCAAATGGTCAGTAGAAACCTGGCAAGGTGAGTATATTTTCTTAATTTTATTACAAAAAAGTAACATTTTATTTGATCACGTGATTTTATCCTTCATTATTTTAAATTCCATATGTTGTAATGCCTTGTAGAGCGCTCAAATTCCCAATGGCCCAATGTGTAACACAACACAGCGCACTTAAGGCAGTCATGTCTCACTCGATACGCCTACATAAATCATTAATATTTGATCAATTCCTCGAATTGTGAGTTTGGGACGCCTGTGTCTACAGTTACATTATCACAACTTACAGTACATCCTATTTCCCAGTTTTAACACCCTGTTTATTAGTGATTGGGTTGCTTGTGTTTCAGTGAACATGTTGCCATAACTTAAACAGATCTGTCATATAATCCTTTTACTTGAATTGTTGTTGGATTCCTTCTTTCCTTTTAGTATGAAATGCCAACTGGGCTTCAGAATCTTGGAAACACCTGTTACATGAATGCAACTGTGCAATGTTTGCGCAATGTCCCGGAACTAAAGGATTCACTTGTAAAGTATGGCAGTTTTTCTCAAGCATTCTTGTTAATTTGATCCTTATCATGCATTGGATATTTTTTAATATGCTGCTTCTTTACTGGAAATTGTATTCCTTTAGACCACTGTTTAAAAGCAAATAAATCTTGTGGCATTTTTATGTATCAGATACAACACTCTTGGAAGCCCAACAGACTCAGCACACTCAGTTACAGCGGCACTCAGAGATCTCTACAAAATCATGGACAAAACACCAGATTCTTTGCCGCCCATTATTTTTCTGCAGGTTTGGGCAATTCTTTTGTATCAACAGGTTGCACAGTTAGTTGGGTAATTGGGAACTACATGTTGTAAATTTTGCAAAACTTTATGTTTTTTGGACTAGTCTTGTTCCTTGTGATACTCTTCACATTTAAATTGAAGCTTTTTGTGGGAAATTCAAGGGAGTAATGTGTGTCACACACATGTAGTATAACTTAAGACTTTTTGGAAGAAAAGGTATTAATATGTCATCAACTTGATCAACTGCAGAACAACAGCTTCTCAAGCAGAAAGGATTTAGAATTGATACTTCAAGGATTTGAGTAACTGTGTCACATAGTGCAGTATCAAACCTTGTGCATTGTCTGTTGACTTGTTAGCATTTCTGTAGCGCAACATGTTTCCATGTATCATGGGATGTGTCAGGGTCTTGCAGGATGAGGGTGTTAGAGTGCCCCAGGTTTGTTACCCAACTGATCAGCACTTGGGGTCTTAAATATAACTAGGGATGAAGATTCTGCTGTTGTTGAAATGTTTAGATCTTTACAAAGTCAAAATCACTCCATTTTTTGTTGTGTACCTGTACACTTCTAAAAGAACTAGAAAAAAACTCATTTTAAATGGCTGTTTTTACCTCTCTTTTATAGATACTACACAGGGTCTTTCCTCAGTTTGCGGAGAAAACAGAACAAGGAATATACATGCAACAGGTAAAAATAATTTATTCTTTTATGGCAGATGGAAGTCAATGCTAAATTCTGCTGACTTATGTTTAAAGCTATGTTTATAACAGAGAAATTGCTATAAACTATACATGTAGATATATCTATGGTATACACTTTGTTTAAAATCATGCTGCTGCTTCTGTAAGTGACAAGAGAGCGGGTGAAAGAACACTGATTTACATAAGGGGTATGAAAACTAATCACATGTGACTTGACTGAAACAGTTTGCGTGTCTGTTAATGATATGTGTAGGATGCAAATGAATGCTGGACACAGATTGTTCGAATGCTGCAGCAGAAGTTACCAGCTATAAAACCTGAAGAAAACGAAGACCATGGTGGAGCTAGTGCTGCTGCTGCTGCTAAAGGATTCATTGATCAATATTTTGGTGAGTGAACATGTTGGACATAGAGGATATTTATTACATGGCAGGGCAAAGATACAAATTTTTTCTTTGAGTATTGAAAAATATATGAGTGAGCATAGCGAATGAGTGAAACATTTTTCAACACAAGAAGAGAAATTTTGTATCTCTGAGTGGTCATGTAATGTTCTATTTATTATATCAACATCAATGAAATACCAAACAATTTAACTTTCACTGCGAAAAGTGTGCAATATATTATGCAACCATAGCAACGGTGATCTCTTGCCATGTGAAGATAACATGTTATTTTCACTTGTAAAGATATCATGCTTTTGCACAAAAGCTAGCCCAGAGATGGCTATTACTGTAGGATGTGCGTATGTGCATCAAGCATTGATATTTTATGAGAACAAAAAGAGGACTGAGTTCTTTGTTGTTTTTGTTTTCTACAGGAATTGAGTCTGAATCAGTGTATCCTTTGGGCTATATTCTCTTATTAAAATGGGTAGTAATTAAAGTCTTTTTGTTGTTGTATTATAAAGGAGTAGGGATAGCTATTTTTATTCTACATTTATCAGTGTTTTACTTCTTAACTGTGGTTTAGCATGAAGTGTACAGAGGCCCCAGATGAGCCAGAAACCAAGTCCAATGAAACGCTTTTTCAACTGAGTTGTTTTATCTCGCAAGGTTTGTGATGATTAATAGGCCCTTTGCACAATCTGGTCACATGGTACAAAATCACACATGCTGGTGCGTAAGTTGCACAGTGGGACTTCCAAAACAATGCAACTCGTACCAGTCCACCTGGACCTGCCTTTGTTTTGGAAGTCCCGCTGCGCAACTTGCGCACCAGTATGGGTGATTTTATACCATGTGACCGGATCGTGCAAAGGGCCTATTTAGAGGACTTCAGTCTGCACATAGCAAAACAGATGAATCAAACAACCCTGCTGTTATTAACTCTCTAAGGGTCTACATATAATATAAAATTTAAGGTATTCATACTTTTCTTCATAGTACTCAGCCAGATAATTTTGGTGATAATAAAATATTTATTTGTCTCTAATATTTCATGACAAGTTTCAATATCCCTTCAGTGATCCATTTCTTCATGACCCATGTGCTTGACTTTGTATCAATATTGAAATGAAGTGTTGCTTACTGTTCTCTTCTGATTTTCAGATGTGAAGTACCTGCACACTGGTCTTAAAAGTGTAAGTCGAAACGTCCTTTATTAATTTCGTTAATCTTTGTATTGAAAATATTCCCTCAAGCCTTTCTTATTCAATTCTCTCTAATAGTGTTAAAAAAAATTCTTGGACTCTCTTCCTGCAAACATTTGGTCTTTTGTTTGTTTGTTTTTTACTTTCTCTTTATTTCTTGCATGTTTTTATGATGGTATTAATTTGCCTTTATTCTTTAGCGTCTTGAGGAAAGTATCGAAAAACGCTCGCCAACACTTGGCCGAGACGCAGTGTACACCAAGACAGTAAGTCTATCTATATAATAAATCCATCCTTCATGTTTAATTCTAGCTAATCTTTTAAATTCCTTAGTTGTCTTACAGCATTTCGTTTGATGACCTAATTAAACCATGACGTTCTGGTAAGGCGAAAAAGGAACGATCTTTGGCTTGTAGATGTGCGGAAAAAAGAAGGTTTCAAGTTTTTGCACATTGTCTCGTTCTAATTAGCTATGTGCATCGGATCTTAATGCAAATAACTTACTAATGAGCCGTAAAAGTATTTATATATAAGGCTTAAAATGCTCTTAAAAGTGTCAAATTTTTTCCTGATAAACTAATCGTTTCGGGATTAGCCCTTCTTCAGTGGAAGAAGGGCTAAGCCCAAAACGTTTAGTTTATCAGACCAAATTTGACACTTTTCAGAGCATTTTGAGCCTTATATACAACTTTTCGGCAGTGTCACGCATCGTATGAGTTTTTTGCTCATTCCTACTGAGTAAAAGTATCTTTTCGATGAGGAAGAGATTACTGTACATTTTTTCAAGTCACCAAACGTTTTACAACCTGTTTATACTATATTCTTGAATTGACAACGTTTCTGATATTTGGAACATTTTTCACCGTGCTAAGTACTCAACTAACTTGATTTGTATTGTTTCCTTGCTCCTCAGTCCAAGCTGAGTCGTCTCCCTGCTTACTTGACTGTCCAGTTTGTCAGGTTTTATTTTAAGGAGAAAGACGCTATTAATGCCAAAATTCTCAAGGTAGGGTAAGGCTCTTAGGGCTTGAAGGTTTTATTCTTTGTTTTTCCTGATCTAATTTATTGGGTAAGAGTAGTGTTTCCTAACTTAAGAGAGTATTTATCAGTCATGTTATTATCATTTCGCTTAGAGACCTTAAAGATAGTCAAGAATTCTTGCGATTCGCTCTAATCAGTTGGAGCAAAGATCTTGTCGTTTCAACCAATCAGATGCTAGCTCAAAGCCTGCCCTGATTCGACTTTCCTGCCCTTTATATAGCCTACGGGAGCATCCGGTTTTTTCGGCTCTTGTTTTTCGCAGGGTGAAACAAGATGCTCTCACAGGTGACTCTTAAGTTGTTCAGTACAGTGTTGATTTGAGTTCAGTTTTGATAAAGACGCGTTGTGTTTCCTTTATTTGTACAACAGGATGTTAAGTTTCCAATGTCCCTGGATGTGTTTGACTTGTGCAGTGAAGAACTACAGCAAAAGTTGATGCCTGCAAGAACGAAATTTAAAGAAATAGAGGACAAGAAAGTGGAAGAGGCTGCGGTGAGACAAGCAAACGTGATCCTCAGAAAACAAAACAGCTTCCGCAAAACAGATCTGTTGAATCTTTCCGTGTTCAAAATAGCCATTCTCTGTGCTGGTTAACATACATTTTGATGGATGTTAGTTGTAAGAAGTTGGTTGCATCCATGTTTGATGTTTTTGTTTCATTCTTACCACATTGCACCCCGCCAAACTACGTTTAGATTTTCAAGTTACTAATAGCTAATACTCCTTCATTTTAATAGTTTCATTCCTTATACAATGTACACCACATTGCCAATGTTTCCCACCTTGTATTTTTTGTTTTATGAGCGTGTGTTATACTTTGTTTGTTTTTTTAATTTCAGAATCGTAAAAAGGAAGGAGCAAAGGAACCGATGGACGTTGACAAGAAGACAAGACTAGAACCGTTCTCATTTCCTGATGGTCAGAATGTTACAACTTTGCGCAAATTTTAACAGAAATTAATAGGTCCAGTCCTTTAAAGCCGTCGTGACACTGGGATATAGGTGTTCAAGTGGACGTTTTCGTATCGTTTTTCTCCGTTCGAACGCCGCACAAAAAACGACGCGTTCAGTCAGTGCACTTTCGGAAAGTGGTAACCTGTGGACACAATAGAAAGTTGTCATACAAGCGTTTCAAAAATCTCTCTTTTCACCGTTAGGTCTTACCATCATTTAAGTGTGGATGAGATGCGAAAAGGAATTAAGAACTCTTCATTAGTAAACGAGCTCCATTTTTGTCACTGTTTATGAAATATGGTTTGTTATTTTCTTTGAAGATATTGGTTCAAACAACAGTGGATATTACGAACTGACCGCAGTGCTGACTCATCAAGGACGGTCGTCGTCCTCGGGACATTACCTGGCATGGATAAGAAGGAAAGGAGGTAACAGCGTTTGCTGTAGTCTGTCTAACACACGAAGAGCTCTCAAATTGATATGTTTGATATTGCTTGATATTTTACCTGCCTCTCTAGCAACTTACTCTAGAGAGAGTAAGCGACCAGAGAACGTGACTTGTATCTTATTGACCCAAACCACAAAACGTATAGCATATTTTTTCCAAACGAGCTACAAGTCAGAGCTTTTCGCCCGTCGATTTTCTGTTCTTGACACTAAGGATTGTTGGGTGTATTACAAAAAGGTGTTGCGGAAGATTTATGATTTTTTTCTATCCCATATTCCTGTCTTCCTTTCAATCAATGATCCTCAAGACAAAACGAACGACAGGGAAACAAGAAAGATTACAATACTTGGTGCTTTGTGTTGCAGATGAGTGGGTAAAGTGCGATGATGACAACATGTCGACCACCACAACAGAACAGATTCTGAAACTCTCCGGTGGAGGTACGTTCTCTAATTCACCCCAGCATATTTCGTCACAGCGTCCCAAATTCTCGCGCGGTCACTGGCTAGTTTTCATCGTCAATGTGCGGACAGACACATGAACGTATAATTTATAACCCTACACAGAATGGCCCCTGGATGAACAGAACACAGGGTTTTAAATTTTTACTCACCAGTTTATAAGCTATATATAACACAAATGGAAAGTGGAACAAACAGTGGAAAGCTTAACCTCCAGTCAGCAAAGTGCTGGAGTGTAGACAGTTGTAACTTCCTCAAGTCTTCTAAGTTATTTCCCCAGCACTATGAGCCGACACCGTCCGAACATGCTGGATCAGACAAGATTTTACGATAACTGCAGACATTCTCACGCGCTCATTGGCTAATTTTCATCGTTAATGTGCAGACAGACACATGAATTTATAATTTATGCAATGCGTCAACGAGCGAGAGCGGACAATTTGACAATTTGTTATCGTAAAAAATAAATTGACGACAGTTTTAATGCATCTGTCCTGTTATTGACAATGACTTTCGTCAGTCTCTGCTTTTTAAATAGGCCATTTCTGTGTTACCTTGTGCCTCTGCACAAACCATTCATATGAAATGGTTAGACAGGTTTATTTTCGTGCAAATCAAACTCCTTTTGCACGAAGAGTCGTTTTGAAATAGAGGCACAAAGCAACTCGGAAATGGCCTACCATATTATCTACAATAATTGTATTTTCTTTTTAGGTGACTGGCATTGTGCATATGTTTTACTTTACCGACCCCGTCAGCTGGAAGTTGAGGATGACCAATGAACACCAGGGACATACACAGCAAGAAAATGGAATTCTGTTATTAACAAGATGATACGCTAACTTACGGCAAAACAAATGCGTGAAATGTTTAAACGCTCAAAAGCGTTTTCAATCAAAGTTTAATAAAAAGACTTGAACTGAGCTATGTGAGTTTTAAGTTGTGAATTTCTAGTCACGTTATTGTAGTTTCTTTCCGCTCTCCTCTGTTCCGCACTATCTCAGTCAGTTGGTCCTGGATCAAGTCCAAATCTTTGATTTCATTACTACATTTCGGTGGATAGCCTGTGTACATCCGCCCCCACCCCTAAAAAAAACGATTTCCCTCAATTTTTTTGAGGGAAGGGGGCGAATGTATACAGGCTGCTCGGTGGAGCGAATGGGAGAAATAAATGTCGTTGTTGTTGTTGCACGCACGCCTTGAGTGCCGTTCAATTTTACCACAAACGCACTAAGCTCAAGTCTCGAGAAGAGCGCAACATTGATTCTCGCGTTGTGCGAGTCTGAACTATTACGCAGACGCTCTTTGGGCTCGTCACGCAATCGTTTTCCCTCATGTGAGGGAGGAAGATTGCATGACGACCCCAAAGAATGTCTGCGAGTAGGAGGCTAATTGTAGCTTACGCGAGGAACCCGCTTTATGAGAAGTTGTATGGGGAACGAAATATCGTTGATTTATAACGTTGAATATTCCGAAATACGAACATTCTACAAGTAAGACTAATAAAACTAACTTTTCCATGTGTGACCCTTGTGGTTTTTGGTGATTTCTACCATTTTGGGCTTTCTTTGCCATAGACCATTACTGTTACTAGTATCATACAGATTCCTGAGATTCATAAGACGGAGTTAAGGCTGCCGAATTCGACCGGAGGATACATCAAAAAGAAAGAGGAGAAGGCATGCACTTAGGATGCCACCCGTGACCGTTCTTGCTGGTGGTCTGTAGAATCTTTTTCTTTCGTTTTCTTTCCTTGTGCCCCTGAACATGCAATTCAATTGAGGTCTGCATGGTCCTCGTCGTCGATAATGCAATTTGTCACGCCAGTATCTCTCCCTCTTCTCTGCTTCAGTCTTAACTCTTTCCTGAGTGAGTTGTTTCAGCAATAGACCTTATCACGGTTTTCGATGCCATCTTGACGAGTATGCAAGGCGGTCAGAAATTACAGTGTTTGTATGGAAATCCGAAGGCAAATAACTTTTTCCAAAATTGAATTTTACACAATTTGTGAATCGCAACGTTAAAATCGCGGGGGGAAAGGGGGGGGGGGG